TTGAGTTGGTTGGTTCCAAATCATCTCAAGTCTCATCAGGTTTTTTGGGGCCTCTCTTGTCAAGAGAATGAAAATTTGAACTTTTCAAGATTATCCACTCACAATTACAAACACATGATAATGAGGTATGGTATGATCAAGAAGTTAGAATTCTTGAGTTTTGATGTGTTAATGTATCTCCTAGACTTGCTTGTTTCCACCGGACTTTCAACAATCTAAGGATTCAAGTGTTATTTGGATGAAGTGACAGCTGATTTCACTCATAGCTAAATGCGACTAAGTCACCAATTACAAACTACTTCCCACAATGTTTTCAAAGCATCCTCAAAAAAAAATACTCCAACTTGTGTTCTTCTTGTTCAAAGCTGGCTCAACAATGTTCAAGGCCTCCTCTTGACATGGTTTGCATCTCATAACCATGTATGTTTTGCACCACTGGCAAGCTTCTGAGCATATTTCTGTATGGTTTTAAGCTTACCAATGCCTCATACAGATTGGATGTGCAACCCAGCTGGATCGACCCAGCCTATCACACTTCAATGTGTGGAGAGGCTGGTGCCAACTGCACTTGGAACAACAGTGTGATTGATGCAATACAATGCAGTGTTGTATCAGAAATCCAATCCAAGAATTTTCCCAGACCTTGTATTGCATTGCTTGTCTGAACACAAAATATTGGACTGTATTGGCTACTTGATACCCTAATTGTTGAAATTATGTGTTGCATCAGGCTAGGTATTACAAAACAATTACAAAGTGTTGGATCAAATTGCCACACCAATGCGATATGATGAGGTGCTGATACAGTACAATACCAATGCACACATTGTATCACTTACACCAGTGCTTGGCATCACACCATGGGCCTGGGCAACTTTCACTTCATATGTTTTCTTGGGAGGATTTTACTGGTGGTCACTCTTCATCTACTATCCTACAACATCAATGGTGGCTTGCAGGTTGGCATGCTAGCAACTTTTTTTTTCTGTATCACTAGGCTTACTAGCTGGGCAGTTTTATAGCGGCACATTATATTTGAGACTCTTATGGAATGTTGTTGGATTTTTATATCCTTTTTTTGTTTCTTTTTCATATTCACATGTTTTCTTTTCAAATATTCACATGGTTTTCAATTGCAATCAAAGAACATTCAAAATTCTGTATAATTGCTGTGTAAGAAAGACAAATTACACCAGAGTTTCCTAAAAAATAATCAAAAGAATATTCAACTACAATGAAAAAAAAGTTACATTTGTTCATAATTGGTGTGTAAGAAGGACAAAGTACAACAGGTTCTCCTATGGAACAATCAGAAGAAAGAAGGGGGATACAAAACACAAAGTAAATATTGTATAGGAAGGTCTTTAGTGTCAGGATGAAAATGTGGTGGGTCATGAGCTGGGCCAGATTGAAAGCTACCTTTTCCAATAAGGCATCAACCCAATTATACAATTTCATTGGTTTACTATTCTGGGATTCAAGCTTCCATGCCGCCCAGCCCAGCGCTATTCCTGATCATGCATGAGCTGCATTGATTTTGGGGCAACCTATTCACATCCTTTCTGTGGCTTTGATGCACTAACTACTGAAAAATACAGACAGATCATGCTTGTGATTTTTTGTTGCTATGTAATTCAAGGTTTTTTTCCCTACATTCTTGTCATGATCCAATCAATAAATATGGTTAATTACAGGCCCAATGCTGTTTCAAATAATTCTGCCTATTTTAAATCTCACATAAGTGAGTGTAAAACATCACTTGGTTCAACTATTGACCTCATCAGTTTCCTCAGTCTTCATTCTTCAACCTGCATGTATTGTGTCCATTAAAAAATTCATATTCCAGGAGCAAATTGTGAGAGCTACCATGCTGGTGAAGTGAAGCTTCTGAATTTATTCAATTCAGTAGCTTCATGCTGCCACTGCCCTCCAAATTTTGCATAGTGACATGGATTAACTCCCAGGTCAAGGCATCCAGAAAAAAAAATTACTTGTAATTCTTGGGCAAGCCTTTCAGACTCAAAAAAATCACCTTGGTTGGAAATCATGAGGGATCATATTCCAAAAAAGGTGAATGATTCTACCACTAGCCCTCTTTTTTTTGATCATGCTAATTGTGACAAGTAGTTTATAATTTCCACAATAGCGTTCATTTCAAAACCAACTCATCAGAGAAAGAAATTTGGACCGGGGCTTGGAGTTTGGGCTTCAAGTCATTGGAGGCATGAATTCTTCAAAAACGTCTCTGTTGGGTGCTAATAGTGCAGCAGGGCTATTGAATACAATAGAAGAAGTTAACTAAAAAATTATTCAAATAACGATATCAAATGCAAAGATCAACTTGGAGGGTACCTGAAACAAAAGAATCGCAAGAAGCATAAAGTTTTAGAAAAAGAAAGCAAGAAACTCAAGACTGTTAGCCTTCTCCTAAGACCAATCAAAAACCAAATCCATACGATAACCTTTCCGGAGAAAGAGGCTCTTGAACATTCTCCTAATATGTTCATAATCTGGCCTATCTTTGTATCTGAGTTGACGAGTATAGTTCAAGAAACAGGCGAATTCATGAGGCAAGCCTTGGCAAAGTTTTTCTAAGGGTGTTCGAATCTTTCGTTCAGCCATTATCTGGTGTTTTTCCAGTTTCGATTCGGCCCGGATCCCCAGCCAAGGAAGGCTTCCCGTAAGAAATGAGATTAACATGTAGCATAATGACTCGAGATCGTCTCGTCTCGACTGTTGAATACCCAGGTGGGTGCAGATCGAAGAATAACACGCCGTCCCAACCAACGGTTGACCTTCCTTGTAAGGAATGTGTTGATGATCGTCACCTCGGTAGCGGCAAGAAAGTCCGAAGTCAATCAGATGAACAATATGAGAACGTGATCCGCGTCCCATCACAAAATTTCCAGGCTTGATATCTCGATGTACGAATCCTGCACTATGGAGCTGCTCCAAGCGAACAATCTTTTCAAGATGTTCAGAATCAGCGATCACCCTTAAGCCAAGAACACTGTAGTTTTCATGGAGAAAAGCGGTATTTTTTTCCGGGATGTGATACTTTATCTGGTATATTTGAAGTCAGCTTACCATCTGATCGGCTAGCATCAAGACAGTCTTCAAGCTGAATGTGCCTCTAGCACTTAATTGTCGATCCAAGCTGCATCCCAATAGATCCATCACCAGTGCTGTATAACGGCTTCCTATTCCTATCCATCTAAGTGAGCTAATCATGAGAACAGGGAAAAAGATATGTCAAAAACGTATCCGCTCATTTGCCTGCTTCTTTTTGTAAAATCCACGTTTTCTTGTGATCTTTCTAGAAGCGAAATTGAAAAGATCTTATCGAAAAAGAATATACTTACGAGAATCCGATCGCTCCCTTCATTATAGAATATATCTTTGCTTCATTTCTTAACTGAGGATCTTTGGTTTCTATTGATTCCACTTTGATCGCCACTTCTTGATTTGTCTGAAGGTCTATGCCCAAATAAATTTCACCTAAATGAACGACCCAATGAATTGGAATGTTAAGGTGGATTCGTATGCCTAGCGCTTTCGAAGCGCGTTGAAGAGAGTTGAAGAACTTACCAAAGGCCCCATTACCTATGCGCTTGATGAATCGATACATTGTCCGAGCTGACTAAATTGACTTGCGTCAATTGATATACAGACTTTGGAGGCTACTGGGCGAATATTTGGATACGAAAAGTTATGTTTTGGATTGGGGAAAAAAACGTGGGGGGGATGAAGAAAAAGTTAGGATCAGTTTTTTTTTTCGGCAACAAAAAACCAGCTACTGCTAGGAAGATAATCACAGGCGAATAGATGGTAGAAGGGACTTAGGAAGGTGAGACGGACTGATATGATGGAAGCGGTGGTATTGCATGGGAGAAGAACAGTGAACAGGAGACGGGGACTGGAGAAATATTCCTGTGACTAGTCGGTGATTGGCAGGAGGAAAGATGAGCCCGAGCTGAAGCCAGCAAAAGTAGAGAAAATAACCGACAGCTGAGTATTCATAGATTTCTACTGGATAGGGTCACCAGGGCCAGAGAGGGGGATGGGGAAATATGGAGAGAAGAGGATACCTAGTGTTAAACGCCCTATCTAAAAAAACAAAAAGGGGCTTGCAAAGTGGGGGTAAGGGCAAGTGGAGCGAGGGTACATACACCAATAGATGATTTAATCATTAAAAAAGCGGGGAGCCATGCTAAGAAGAACATTAGAACCGTGGGAATTTCGCAATCTTGAAAGATAAGATTGCATTGCGTTGGATCCAAGCTGACACAACGAGCCGAGTTGGATGGACTCAGGAGCTGATTGAAAGCTGCAAGATACGAAAGAAGGTACCGGTACATCAACAAAGGCGTTATCGAAAACTGTCCGTCAAGCAGTAAGACCGAGATTGTGAAGTTGTGCATATTCTTGGTACAAAGCAAGCTACATACGAGCTTGGAGGTATGTATGAGGAAGAAGAAGTTGCTGTCAAAGTTTCCTCATTCATCGGCTTGAAACCTTCCAGCTGTCTGGATTGGCAAGTAGATTGACTATCAGTCTCCTCGCGAAATGCATCCATCGGCCATCAGCGATGTTGGGATGCACCGTTGCGACTTCAACACTTTTCGCCTTATCAGTCTCACGATCACATTCTTCTCCACCTTACCCCGGTCCCCAAGTCATACCCCGCAGTTGGTTCTTCGAAGTTTCAAGTGTGTTTAACTTATCATGTTTGCATCCTTTTAATGAATGCAACGGTAGACTTAAACCCTTGAGCGCCTCAAGGTGACAACGCATGGCTGTGTTCAACAGACTCAACCGGCCGACTACTCGAAAGAAAGAATCGATGACACCATCCTTGTGAAACCTTTGAGTCATACATTGAGTACCCATCACCTAGGGGGCGCGCCAAGATACATACACCATTTTTTTGTTAAGCTAGATTCTAGATTCCTCTCAGGTCCGGGTTCAAGGTTTGAAACTTGATCAAGAGTCAAATGAAGTCACTCGTCCGAACTTACGAAGTTGGTCCTTCGGAGTTCGGATGTTGACGTAAACTGTGGATGGCTTGTGATAAGGGAACGTCATATTAACCACCTGCGAGAGGGCTTTTGGCCTTCATCTTTTGTATTTATTGCAACGGGGATGACTTTGCTTTTTGATTGAACCAAACCTTGCTCATCCAGTAGGTGACACGAGGTGCCATGTGAGTACAACTTTCGGCATTTCGGGCCGAAGGTTGACTGTTTGTGGCTGTAGCCTGTCGGTGCCTCACCGGCAGCATCTCAGCAATGCAGGGGCCGAAGATGCTACTGCAACCTGCCACAACATTCGAGTCATTTGTCACTATTGTGGAAATGAGGAGATGTGCGCTCCGGTAAGTTCCTTATGTTTGTCATGTTCCTAAGTTGGCTGCAAGTGGCTCTTGAAGCATGCATCCTAGTCGATTTGCGGTTACACCAAGGCACACTACAGGAATATATAGAAGAAGCCTTGCAATATTTTGGTCTTCTTTGGCTAACAGGCTATGGTCTATGATTTTCTGACGGGAATGTCACCAGGAGAAAAAAGGTTTGGCCAAAGAGTAGAAAGCTCTGCCTGTGAATTGATCCAAGCTAAAGTAGCACCCAATGGGTCACTAGAAATGTCCAGCTACAATATTCTAATCAGTAACATAACACAAGTAGCATTGCAATCAGATACCATTGAATAGAAAAATACTGATTTCTCAACTTGCATGTCCTGAAAAAATAACACAACAAAATCTTGTAAAGATTGGAAGTGATCTTGGTGGAGCACTTTATGAGAGGAGTTCTACCAGTCCTGATTCCAGCTTCCACCTGCCCACCCAGTTATAAAGGAAAGCCTTTCAACTGAATTCATCAAAATTTTGAAGAACCAAGACCTTCCTTGTACCAATTCTGATCAAAAATCTCTCCAAGTATGTTGTCATGATTCTCATGTAGTTGACTTGTGGCTGAGCCATAGTTTGATTTGTTCATGATTTATGCAAATTTGGGTTTCAAAACTTCAGGATTTCACTTGCTTGAACATCATATTTCTGCTTTAAAACACTTCTGTCATAAGAGTTTTGATCATGTTTGATTATATACTAAAACATTTATTTCCCACAATTTCCACAAGTAAAGGCCACTGGGATGACATAAAACCAATTGGGCCTGGTTGTTCTTATTACTGCTCAACCAGTTCAGGTATCATGTGACTGTACAAGAGGATTACACAATGCAAAGAGTCTTCATCAACTGTTTGTCATTGATATAATCATAACACTCAACGCTTCAGTTTAAGAAAAAAATCACAGTTAAAGATTGATGCAATTGAAATTCTGCCCTTGGTGAGGGTAGCTTGCATGGGGAAAAGGAACCTCACTTTTATTGTATTCCCCAATCTGCAGCTTTACTGACAGATAAAACAGTGCTTTTATGAAATCAACCTTTTTTTTCAAAATTTAAACCTATATAGCTCAATTTGAGTATCCCTTTTTTCAGAAAGGATGGAGCTATACAGTATACTCCAGCATTCCCTTTGAAGCTTGAGGCTTTAATACCAAATGCCCTTGCCTCTATGATTCCTAAGCTGGTCCCACCAAAGAATATCACCACACATTCTCAATTATTGTATTACTAAAATTTGAAATACAGGCTTGAGGATTTGAAAAAACCAAGGGAATTTATTATGTGATTGTTTGAAAAATGGGGAGGTAAAACTTAATTTATCCAATGAAAATTGTATCTAGGCAGATTGATCAGAATTGCTCAAAAAATTGAAGGGTGCAAAAGGTTCCCACCTTTCCCATTAAAAGTTCTTTGATCTCATTTGGTAGGTATTTCAACAAGATACACACCACAATGAGGAATTTACACCACAAGGTCCATACATTACCAGACAACCTGTGTGATGGCATATGGCGCAAGGAGCCCCTGCCTTCGGGGAAATTTTTCTGCCATATGCATTTGCGGGCGGAAAGGGCGATTTCGTCGACCACATAGGCCAGGTGTGCCACTTATCAGCATTCACTTGATTTAGGCTTTCTCCAACGGCCGGAGGTGAAACTTGAATTCGCGATAATGTGGTGGGGCGCACGTGTATTGTTTCTGCAAACGATTGGTGGCTTGACTTGACCTAACTTGGTCTGACTAAGCACGTGATGTACATCCACCCTTATCTGACTATTTAAAGTGGCTCATCTGAACTCCATGTCCACATCTTGCCACCGAGACAACTCCTCATAAATCCTTCAGAAAACACAAAAGATACGTTGGGATAGCTCTTCAAATCAAATACTTGAACTATATATCAAAATGCGCTACATCTTAGCATTACATGTTATACTAATGTCCACTGTGTGGGCTAAATTTGGCCAATCAGACTGCCCTCAAAATAGCTTTTACACCCAATGTAATAATAATATTGCTGGAATGGGCTGTTCCTGCTGCCTGGACAAAAATAGTAAGGCAGTTAGGAAGAGGTTTCCTTGTAACGGATATGGTTTGTAGTACATTTTTATAAAGGAAGATGTTATACTATTAAATAGCCATAGAAAACTCCAACATCATTTCTTTTTTTCATCTGCTTTTGCCTGTCTGCCTCTTTTAAATCTAAATTTTTCTCTCGGCTATAAGACCGATCTACCACTTAGCTGAATTTTTCAATTGCCTCATTTAAGTTCCTTCGAGTTATTATTTTTTCCTACGTAAACTTCCTTTTTCTGACGGAGTCACTTGGCTATTCCCATCAATTTTTTTCTTTGCAACGCAAAGTAAATAATTGAATTTCCCCAAAGTTTTATCTTTGAGTCAGTCTTTGATCTCTCATTTTATTATGTACGATTTTATTTTTCTTTTCGGGAGTTTGATTTTGTTATCCTTTTTGGATCGTAATGCCTTGCCAGAATACGCAGATATTCGACCCCAAAGATCAGCGATCGACCGATGGAAGAAAGGAAAACCAAAAAGAACTCAAACTCTACCGTCGAATTTCCAGTCAAAACTTATAGGAAAGCCGAGTGTTTTTCTCTCTCATGACTAGATTGGTGTTGCAACATACTTTAGATACTACGTCATTTTTGAAAAATCAGTGCCATTCATGGCCATTTTATTCAGAGTATTCAACTGAGAATAATAAAAAAGCAATTATTCATCGAAATAGCTTGAAAGAGACCCACAAGAACATCGCCAAGACCCGCCCAAGTCTTGATTTCTCATACCGCCATTTCTCGATCGAATAACGTTGACACGTTTTAAGTCTCGCAATGAGCGAATATACGCAGTCGGGCAGATACCGTTCCCTCATGCTCTGGATTTTATCTGCCCGTCGGCCTTTGTCAAATGAGGGCTCATCAGATTTGCTTCAAAGTTGGGCCCACCCAAGGAATCGATGTATGCCGTACCTGCCTAATTGTCGAGCTTGACTAACCCTCTCCGAGGAGGCGCGAACTCCGAAGGAGGGGCTTGTGTTAAGTTCGCACAATTGTGCGGGCGCTTCAATCATTTCCACCTACAGAGAGATGTTACTCTAACAGTATGCATACGCCCACCATCCTCAAGCTTGGAGTGTGTTTATAGAAGGGGTTAATTTTTCATCACCTTTCATTTGGAATCATTTGAAATTACTGACATAATGGAGTAAGGCAACTTCAACTGTAAGATGATAAATAATCTGCCTAAGAGCATCCGCATCAGCTTTGCTAAACCGCGCGCTATGCTACATATAGCAACAAACACGCCGCATCGGTTCGGCTACGATCCCAAATCTTGCCAGATTTCCGAGCTTTCATCGCCAACCCTCTCCAACCTTGGGAGTACTTGGCGATGATGCTAGGTCATCCTGCATATGCAAACTACACCTCGCAGCACCTTGTGGCTAGTGGAGGCTATACCTCATATCTGTACAACACCACTTCAATACGTTCAACATCTTGTCCAATCAACATCCTCAACACTCCACCCTCCGACTTGAATGGCACTCGGAACACGATGACTCAGGGTATAATATGCAAAACTCACCTGGATTTAGCTTGACACGTTACCGAATCCGATGATCAATCGCTATCTCTTGCTTCTTTGACACAAGATCCCCTCAATTCCAGCTCGGAACCTGATGAATACCAGAATAATGAAGATGTTGAAGATGTTGAAGATGAAAACAGGCCCATTGATTAGTTTGCTTATTTAAATATTGAATCAATGTTTTTCTCTTAATCAGTTTTGACCTCTTATCAAACTTTTCACTCATATCGATGCTCTCATTTTTCACATGTTTTTTTTTCTGGTTTGTTGAGCAAATACATGTAATTGAAGTACAATTTACAAAGTACAGCCATTGAGAAAAATTGTCGGAGCAAGAAGCAAAAACTACACTGTTTGGAGTGATCGGAGCAAGCGAAAACTTTACTACTC